GGTTTTCAACAAGAAGTCGAAAATATCACTTTTTACAAAAAATTACAAAAGTATTCATCAAAATTAGAGAATTAAAGATATCATCATGAAATGAATAAATCTGAGAGAGGTCCACATGTAGTACCTATATACGTAATATCAAAGCAATTGGACTTGCGGTTATCAACAAGAAGTCGAAACTATCACTTTTTACCAAAAATGACAAAAATATTCACTAAAATTAAAGAATTAAAGATATCATTACAAAATGAACAAATCTGAGAGAGGTCCACATGTAGTACCTATATATGTAATATCAAAGCAATTGGACTTGCGGTTTTTAACAAGTTGAAAATATCACTTTTTACCAAAAATGACAAAAATATTCACCAAAATTAGAGAATTGAAGATATCATCATGAAATGAACAAATCTGAGAGAGGTCTACCTAAGGTACATATACACCAAGTATCAAAGCATTCAGGCTTGTAGTTTTCAAGAAGAAGTCGAAAAAGTAAAACATTGACATGGACGACGACGGACAATCACTCATATGATAAGCTCCGCTCGACAAAGTCGACAGTGGAGCTAAAAAGAGAAAGCCAAGTACAGAGTAAGTAACATGTATTTATTTTGACGGTAGAAGGAAGTGAAACTGATGATTTACAAAAATAGATCGTACAATGATATAAATACATTATAACAATACAAAGCTATTTCTGTGAATACTTCAATGATTTTAATAATACCGATACATATACGGTAATATGAGGTTATTATGAGGATACCGAAAAGTATGCATGAAGACAGTACAGCAGAAGTATCGACCGATGTGCAGTGGAGGTCAATGAGACTGTGTATATACTTTTCGGTATCCTCGTAATAACCTTATTATTATACATCTTTTCCTCCCAAGAATACATCATGGAAATGCCGAAATACAAAAAGTTTAGAACAGATTGAATGAACTTCTTTGTATGGGGTCCGGTTAAACCCTGGGGGCTGCCATGTTTGTTTTTATTATTAGAGGACGCTTACACACATAATCATTCCATATTTGGAATTCACATTCTTTAATATGGTAGGATGAAAATACCCCGTAAATATCGCAAAATTATGGCACGCAATATAACATTACGGTGACAAATGTATAATATTAATTATAGAATACATGTTAGCAAAATTGAAGTATTTTTTAGAAAGTGGGCCATTTAATAAGATGATAAGATGAAACTCTATGAACGTTTGTTTTTCTGAAATTACAATATCAAAGACACATTTTAAGCATGATTATCATTGCATTTGAAGTTAAATCAATTTTTAAATGAATTTGTCATGACTGTGGATAGTAACTAACCTAGAAAACTGGTGAGAACATGTGTAAACTACCGGGGTAACTCAATACAAAAATATACAAAATAGAATAGACATTAAAATATCGAGCTAAATGTACAAAACAAAAAAAGGATTTGTAAAACATGAATTAATTAATGAAGTTGTTCTTTTAAGTAACCATTACATATTTACCCCTCATTGTCAAGGAATGACTCTAACACTGATAGATATGACCAATGATTTATAAGATAAGGATATACAAGTGTGACCTACGCGATAAAGATCACACACAAATTGATGAAGTCACGCAAATTGCTATAGGATCAGAAAATAAAAAAGCAAAACTACATTTATAAAACAAATTTAATGCAAATTAGTGAGTCTGAGGAAGAACTGGTTCGTGTTCATCTCAGACCATTTTTGTAGTGGTTTGTGCTTATTTGCAAAGCATGTAATAATAATTTCTGTTTACACATTTAAACATTTCCAAGCACCAATTTCGTTCTGGGATACTATTGGTTAAAACTATGTTTGATTTCATGTGCACATAATGTGATGGCGTACAAATATTTGGAAATTATGAAAATTTCATCCTCATGAGATCATTATCGCATGGTTATGAAAGTTGCATACCCATATCTTACAAATCCCTGATATCTCTAATAGTACTTGATTGTATGCATTGGGAAAGCAAACAAATGAGAGTGGTAAGATCTGTTCAACGTATCTACTCTATTAAAGTGAATATAAATCAACCATTACATTTATTGTATACTGGATCAAAAAGGCACCACACTACCAGTAGAGCATATACAGTAAAAGCAATAAAAAAGTTCTTCAAAATATACAAAACTTCATACTTATTCTTAGCTACAAAATAGTAGCAAAAATCTGTTTATCACAGGCTACATTGTGTCCAATGTAAATAAAGAAAAATAAATGCTAGACACAGTACCACTGAGAAAACACACTTGTTACATTTTCAAACTGGATTTGTACAAATGGCTAAATTCTATTGCTTTCATTGCCAAAAGTATAATGTGTTTTATATTTTTAATTTGTTGCAAAAACTTAATTTATACATATACAATTTATTTATGCAATGTACTGAATGGTTTTTTGTGTAAATGTCGAGATGTAGTGACAATACACCACAGAATTGACAATCATAAATTACATTGACTGACATCATAAAACATGCAACAATGCTGGCTAATTAATCCCTTAATTAATAATTAATAATACATGTACTTGGACAAGGCAAATAAAACATTGAATGTTTCTACAAATACCTTTTACAATAAATAAATCATCATCAATATAATATAATATTTATACAAACAAAAAATAAACAAATACATAAATCTTTGCAAAAAAGATACTGTTGTAAACAATTTACACTTCTGTATTGTAACTTGACCAAATACAAATAATTTAAAAAAAAGACATCTTTAAAATACCAATAGCATAGTGCATAATTTAAATAATCATTTGATATGCTAATTAGCAACTGTTGTCAGTTTGCTTTTATTCAAAACACACAGGTATTAACGTAAGTTTGAGGACTAGTTTGCTAAAACTGATGCAGTGAGTGTTCATAGTGCAAAAAACTACTACGGTAGATATTTAGAAACACGTTACAGATACCTGACAAGATGGATTATTATCAGTCAAATTTATTGTAAAAGACTTGATAACTGAGTTAAGTAAGTTTATTGAGGTGTGCACCTCACTGACCAAATATTAAGTTTTTAAATTTGACAAAAAAGCTTGAAGCATGATGTGAATTACATCTTGTACAGAAATATTTGTTCCAAGCTACAGTACTTACAAGTAAGATTTGACACGGCTTTAAATATCACTATGACTTAAAGCGCGGCAGTCGTCGCGCTGCGCATGTGCAAGATATATGGTCTCATATAAACAAAAATGGCGACTTTGACTGTTGCGCAGATCAACGAGTATAAACTGACCTGTTTCCAAGCTTTAATTAGGTAATTTTCATGTGATTGGAAGGTATCGAAGGAGTCATCGGCGGTGATCAGTGCAAGTCGCGCCCAGGTCAAACCTCATACTTGTGACTTCCATTTGAAAAGCGCATTAGATTGTGGGAAATGTTTATTAACACAAATGTCGAACATGCACAGCGCGACGACTACCACGCTTTAACACTGAGCATATGTCAAGATTTAACACAATATGAATACAAAAGTATACTGTCAACACTAATCAACTAAAATTAGACCAGTTCTTCTGGATCCAAGTCAAATTTAGTCTTGAGAACTGACACTGGTTTTTTATCAGATTCCTCAAGATACGCATTGTCCTGCAATTCATATCGATGTGAAAGTAAGTTACGGAAATTAATTTCACTGAGTCCAAGATCAATAGATAGAAGTTTCTGCCAATCATAGTGAAATTCAGCAATCGCTTCCTGGTTTAGTTGTACATCACCAAGCATATTAAAATGATGAAATGGATTGAAATCATCATCTAGAGGTGGAAGATCTAACGTGAACTTGACTTCTATAGGGGTAGTTTTGTTTATTAATGTTGGTGGAATCTCCAGGTGATATCGTAACCATTGCTAAGAAATCAAGATTCAAAACTTGAGTTAGAAAGAAGAAAAACACAATTAAGAATCACAATCATAAACCATTAACACATTGACTGCTGAAAGCTTCACCCCCGGTAGTCCTGGACTTCCTATATCTATTGTATAAAAAGATCCAGCAGGTGATCGCCAGCAATTTTTGTTTGAAGTGAGATATAATATTTTGTTACAATATCCTTAGAAAGTGAATCCAAAACATTTGTAATAAAAACCCACTGCCAATAGAATGTCCCACATTGTGTGATGAATAACTGGCAACACATTGTAAGAAATAGGTACATTGTATTATTCAAGATGTTAAGGTACCTGGTTGGATGGGCCTATTATTATACCGATATATGCAAGATGGGGGACTACCATTTCCACCCACCATTCATTCCTCCCCTTTTTGGCACTGTTAGCCATAGACATGCCTCTGACTGAAGAGGATGCCATTCCCCTTGTCAACACAATTAGCTAAATCTCTATTGTGATATAATACTTACAACATTGTTTTTCAGAATGTTGCACACTTGTAGAAGTGCCTTCTCACCTAAAATACATAATGCAAGATAAAACCCATGATGAAAACAAGTCATTTTACAGTATAGGCAGACCACTCTAGTGTTAAATACAAATTGGAGTTAAAATAGCCATGCAATGCAGCAATCATACATGTAGCAATGCTGTATTCCGATACAAATTGAAAACTGATAGAGTGACATATTGCAAGAGAAAATCTAGGCTAAAGGTAAGAAACGCATTACAATACGTCTAATGTGAGGTAAACATTTTCAAAATAAGAAACAAATTTGACCATGTCCTTTACACTTGCAAACAGTGTTTTATGGACAGATAAGTTCTTTTCAAGGTCAGAATTGTAGTAATGACAATTATGTGAGTGTATTCCTACCTTCAGATGTATTACATATTTCATTGGCTTGTACAGTCAGATATGAATCCATAAACTCCATAGGAATTCCTTCTGTTGAATAACCCTCTAAACCGGAATAGCAGCTAAAAGTCAATGAGACATATTGAAAGTAGTTTTTATAACAAGTTCTAAATTAGTACAGAATACATAATGTTTATTGTTGCTCTATTCTCTGATTTGTATTTACCTACACACTGCATACTACATATTTCAGAACTTGCTATGAACAGCAAATGACATATTCACTATATGTCATGGCAATATTTCACAGTAATACTGACTTACTCATTTCTGAGTTGTCCAATAATAATTTCTGTTTGCCTTGGCAACCAGTCACAGTAAACTTTGAGAAAAGTATGAGCGAGCTTTGGCATTATTCCTTTATTACCTGCAATGTAAGACAGACAGACATAAATACACAAAACTGATCATCATTACATGCTTATAGCACATTATTGGGCGAATCAATACCTAAAATTAAGTGCCATATTTTTGTTAACCAAATTTTGAATGTAATATTTTGCTCATTTTCTATGTATTTTTATATAATTTTTGTTTTAATTTTGGATCAAAATTGTCATAATTTATCCTTGAATACAGATCCAAATAAGAATAAGTGAGAAAAATATTATGCAAATTTATTTTGTGAATGGCGATAAAAGCCTACTTTTATTACTATCACATGGTTAACTACAAAACATTGGTGCAGTGAGCCGGTATTGTCTAGCATTATTGATGTACAGAAATGGATATTCTGTACATCTAAAAACAACAAAGACGTTAACATCATTTATAACCTAGAGTGACAGCTAGTAGATCTTTAGTGTTAATTGTTCAGTGCTGCAACAGATTCTGTTGGTTTTCTTCTAATAGAACACATTTTACACTACATTTCAACACATTTTACATTGCACATATGTTCATAAATGAGACTATGTATATTTCACTTTGGCTCAGTCATGATAACTCGGAAAATCATAGAAAAAAAACGTGATCTTCAACAGATATTAATCTAAAAGCGTTTGTAAAATGCTCATATTGTCATCTGATGTGAGCTAGAAACATAAATGTGGAAAATGGCTGCTGAATGGCCATATTGGATTAAAACAAAGCTGACATAAAATTATGTAATAATAGTGTACACATGTAAATTAAAATCTGCCAGGCAAGCCCGAGACACATTGACATTATTGGTCGGAATCTACAAGTCATATTAAAAAGTCTGAACTTTTACAAATGTGGAAAAAATGTGAATTTGTCACCAACTCACCGTATGTTGCTGTGGTTAAAACATGGTATATACACTCTGATATCAGCAGCAAATTGTCAAGAACATTATTTTGATTGTCATCACCAATCACTTCCATTAATCCTTCACGATCATGAAGTTTATTAAACAAACAACTAGCAATTATCTACAATAGAAATGAATAGCATTGGTTAATACTATGAATAACAATGATGAAGACAAAAAATGAATTTAATTACAGTTATAATTGAAAAAATATAATTGTGATAACTATTAATATTATACATGTCATTGTAACACCTTTAAAGTTACAGTGTGCTGTAATTGTGTGGTATTGCACTGGGTATTTTCATCCCACCATATTAGGAAATGCAAATTCCAGATATGGAATGATTACGCACATAAGCGTCCTGTAATAATAAAAACAAACATGGCAGCCCCTGTTTTTGACCGTACCCTGAGCAAAGAAGTTCGCTAAATCTGTTCTAAACCTTTTGGATTTCCATGATGAATTTTCTGGAGAAAACCTGTACAATAATAAGGTTATTACGAGAATACTGCAAAGTATGCACTCAGACAGTACGCAGTCGCATCGACCTCCGTGCGTCGATAGATACTCCCTCTGTACTGTTTTCTAACATACAAATTTTGATGACTAATGTTTTACATACCTGAAGTCCGATACAACTATGCGCTGTCTTTATACCTAATTCTTGCAATCGGTTTTGTAACTGTTTAAAAAACACACAGACTGGTGTTGGTAGTGTGGGAATTTCTTCTGTCAATTTACTTATAAGACATCTGAAGGCACTGAATAGGGGATCTTTAGAGCCTGAAAAGTAAAGAAATATATAAAAAGTCAACTTGTACAGGGGCTTTACTTTTAATACTGTAGAGCATTGTTTCCAAGTTGACATGTCATCAGAGCTTTTCCATTACAAACCATCAATCACATCATATAGTGAGCTTTTTTCTGAATGACATAACCAATAACACTTACCTGTGGGTTTAGACCTGCTATGTGATGGTTTACATCCACACGGTAATTCTTTTAAAATTTCTGAGAAACTAGGAACAACCTCTTTACTGTTTCCATCAATAATCAGTGTTCGCACAACAGGTTTTATTACTCTGAAAAACATATTATTCAAAATCGAGTTATATACAGATAATATCAAATAAGAAATACCCATCCAGTAACACAATCTTGGGGCTCACACCATTTCACCGAATTGATTCAAATCTCAGTGAATGTATTTAATTTATAATAAGATGGATGCATAAAGCCAGAATGATGAATACTACCCCGGTAAGTGTATTATAAATACCCCATTGTTACATGTATAATAAGAAAACTGTCAAATTGAATCAAATTAATACTGAAACCAAATTTATAACTCCAATCCCTCTTTTCTAATGTGTTCGTAAAGTCACTGTCATCAGAACTCAGTATGTACATAGGATAGATGAATGTTTACAAAGTTTACATATTAATAGCAGTCAGTTTTCAGGCATTTGTTGAAAGTCAGTTTGTACATTTTCAGACAAGCTCGTGCAACATTCTAACAATTGTCAAATTCATATATCATGGTCATATCTGAAGGTTATAACAGTCGGCAATGTTTATAGCATATTGCAGAGTGAATGATGTAGTAAAGACCAACAAACAACCAACCAACAAACAACTAACCAACCAACCAACAACCAACCAACCAACAAACAACCAACCAACCAACCAACCAACCAACCAACCAACAACCAACCAACCAACAACCAACCAACCAACCAACAATCAACCAACCAACCAACAACCAACCAACCAATCAACAACCAACCAACCAACCAAACAGGGAAGAATAATGATGGCACTGGCACAGTAGAATGTGCACATGTGCAGGACAGTGCTTCTTTAACCTTTTCACCACCAGTTCCTTCTTTTCATTACAAATTCACAAAATAGTCCTGTTTATAGTCTGCACTTTCCTTCACAAGATTTGGCCAAAATAGCCAATTTTTTTTAAGTAAAAACTGAAAATTGACTCAAATTTTGTCTGTTTCCTCCAAAATTAGAATACGAGAAAAAAGTGCAAACAAATGTGGCGAGAAAGTCTGGTCGTGAAAACGTTAAAGTAATCATTCTCTTGATGAGAGTGACTACAGATACTTCAGATAATCTTGGAATTACTAGAACAACTGACCTGTCAATAAACGGTGATATCACTTCATAAACACACTCCAACCATGGAGGAATAGCCATGGTTTTTCCAGGAATACAGCTGCTCTCAAACATTTCCCACTTTTCATCTCTGAAATATAAAAAAGTAAAAAATTTATGCTAATTAAAAACAAAAAATAATAACAATTAATATATTTGCTTTTATAGAATGGCATATCTCCAATAGAAACACATATAAAACCAAAAATCACAATTGTTATATATAGAACCATTAAAATAATACTTTTAAATATTATTTTTGACCATAGAAAAAATGAATGAAGCACATGCGCTACTAGCAGAGCATACATGGTACCACAATTGATAAAAGTGCATGGTTCAAATCACAATTTTATACAATGGTATTACTTTGTTTCTAGTTGACCAAATAAACTGACTTTGCCTGGTTGGCTGACGATGTGAGCTTTCCATCATATTATCAATTCCTGTACATTATTTATTTTATTGTTGAAGCCTTAATTGCATTTTGACAATCTTATAATTGGTTACCATGGAGATTTATCTTTTACTGACACATGTACTTCCTAGACTACATCAGATATTGGATATTTTTATCAAACGCAAGTAGATTTAAAATAAATCAAAAAGAGATTAATACTTACTTTTCAATCATTGCCATGAGAACATTGGACAATGCGATTGGTTGATTTTTACATAAAACCAAGACATCAACAAATGGCTGAACTACATCAGATATTTCTCGACTTTCAAAGGTTGCACAGTTGTCACCAGGGCAACAGACACCTTTACATCCCTGATTGACACTGTCAGGTTGTAAAGTTATAGTGGACGCTTGACTAAGAGTTGGATCTGAAAAAAACGATGACTTCTACTGTCAATGGAACTTTAATATACTATACTGAGGGAGATTGCTGGTATTTGAATTATCAAAATATTTTGTTTAAAAAGCGTTTCATAATTATAAAATTTCTTCAACTTTTCAGGGTTTTTTTCCAGTAAGAAATATTTTTTTGGAGAAAAACTTAAACTTATCTTAAAAAAGATAAAAAATGAACAGTTTTAAAATTTTCATAGGAAGCCATGTGAAGGATGTACAAAATCACATGATACAACAGACACCTTTGGCAAACATAAAGCAATAGTAAGAATAATGTATATTAGTACATCATGTTCTAATATACGTAAGCATTCAACCAACAACAATCACACTTTTTTTAATACCTTTATGTGACCCATTTTTGAAAACATGCTGAATCAAATCTGTAATTTAAAGCGAGGGAGTTTCCACCTACGCACGTGTCAGGTGGCCATAGCATGTCATTGTTTACAAACAAGCGTCTACCCACGAGCTTTTGCGTTCTTATCGTGTATTGTTATCATCGCTTGGGACACAATTCCCGCACATGCGCAGGTGACAATCCTCTCGCTTTAAGTCCTAAAGTTTCATGTACTATTGGAAAAAATGTAAGCCATAAAAAAAATAAGATTTATTTATCACTTCCTTGGATTAAATTCTGTCAAAAAAATGCCCTGTCCATTCAAAGCCATTTACTAAATCCATTTTCATAGTGACTTAATTTTGGCAAAAACGTAATATGTTCAATTGGTTATAATGTGATTTGCTGGCACGTTTTGTCTTGATATTCATCTGTTAAACACACATATAACACTTTCAAACTTGTATTACCGGTAATGTCACATCAAAGAAAATAGACATGATTTGTTATTTATTCTTTTTTAAGAATTACAAATGACTTATAAAAACTGAAATTGATTTTCAAAACACAGTTGGCACAATATACCTGCATGGGTGGCAATGAACATCGGAAGAAAGGCATCCTTCATCAATAGTGCCTGTAAAATACAACAGATCAACTGTATAACATTAATAGTTTAAAATTATATAAAATACCATTATTAAGACGGAAAAATAGTATATATTATAATATTATTATAACCTAAGTGAATTTTCAGAACTCGTTTGTTTCAAACAGGAAACTCATGTTACAACATTTTAAAAGAAAAATTGAAGATTTTAGGATGAATTTAATGTTATCTATCACATTTAATTAAATTTTTAAACTCAGAGTTGCTTCTTGCAAAAAAAACAACATAATTTTATAATATGCTGTTTTAAAGCCTTTGATTGAAAGAGTAATAGTCGATTGACTTTATGAACATCAATATATGAAGCATGTCTTTACAAGATTACATATTCTATCAATAAAACAATAATTATATCATACTAACCTGTAAAACCAATACATAGTTTGGTACTGGCTGACAAGCTACTAATTTCACCAGTATATATGATGCCATCTTCTCAGGAACATTGTCCAAACTATGAATAAATTACATCACAATAATCATAATCATTATCAAAATAAATCATACCAGTACAACATAATTAGGTGTAGGTCCAAAATGAAAAGAATGGGTCTAGAACTAAGCAAATGACATGACACAGTCGCTTATCAAAATGATCTATAAAATTTCTATTGTTACTGGATTTCAACAGAAAATTTCCTATAGAAGTATTTAGAAATTCTATAAAATTTGCATCAAAAATGAATATCAATAGACATTTAATGGAAAGTTTATCAACAAATTTCTATAGAAAATGAGCAAGTAAATATATTAATGGAACATAGAAGTATTAAGGTTCCCATTATGAAAATGGTCTATCAAATCACTATTGGTATTTCTACTGACATAATTTATAACAATTTATAAAAATTATGTAAAAAAGTTTGGTGCCTTTTCTATCACATTTTATGGAATTATGTGAAATAAGTAAATATCCTTGTACATTATAGGATTGAATTCAGCATTAGTATACCAATCAGTGACAACAAGCAATCAACAAACTATTCCATTATTTCAATACCTACTTTTTTGGCTGTCCCTCAAAAACACCTTGATGCAACCATGACAACCACTGTGTCATGTGACCTGCTGTTAAACCTTCTTTATCACCAGAGGAGCTACTAGCACTTGAACATCTCTTCTTGTGGAATCCTTTCTTGTAAGCTTTGTATATATCACTGAGTGGACTGGTGACAATCACGATGGTAGACAGGAGACAAGAGCACAAGTTATGAATCGAGGTATGATTGGTACTGCTGGATGCTGGATCCAATAACTTGGACACTGTATTGGAACAGGACCATAGAAAGTGACTTGTAGATAGCAGAATAGTTGTAATGTCAGACCTGTAATGGGAATATATAAGGCATATGAATATAACCTGTGGCTTTCTGTTATACAATCATTTAGGATCTTGTACTCAATACAGACGTATATTGTATTGACAGAAGGGATTGTCCGCTCTGCTTCTCAGATTTCTAATATCACAGGCACCATTGTTTTTATCTGCTGTTGTATATTTTAGATAATTTGTAAAAAAAAAAGACACACAGTAATGAGTTTGCGCTAGAGTTATCATTGATTGCAGCACCACATCTTAAGAATTACAAAACAGGAGTGCACGTTACCATGCAAAAATCCACTAATTTAAACATTTTTTTAACTATTTCTGTAGTTGATATTGTTGAAATTTATACCAAATGATGATATTATGAAAAATATGCAAATTTCGTTTTTGAACCTCCGATACACATTGGTCAATATTTCTACATACATTGTACTGTCTCCATATGCATGAAGTTTATTTCTGATTTATCCTAGGCTAATGCAAAATATTCAGGCTGCTTCAAAAAAAAAAGTGACATTAAAATGTGTTAAAGCTTACCGTAACTGACGGACCCTGTTATAGGACGGTTTAGCCTTGCTACATCTTTGTACTAGTATTGTGAGAGACTCATTTAAGATGGATAGAAACATGTCTTGTGCTAACTGTGGTCCACAGTGACTGAATAAATCATGGTGTAATCCTCGCATGTGATAGTTCCACATTTGAACGGCAAACGAACATCGCTCATCCTACAGAAAAAAACAAATATTTGTATGTAGAATGTTATACACTGTATCGTTGTTTAATAAAGCTGAAAATGTTTACAACATCATATCAAGCACAGCCATATTTTCAACTGTTTCCCAATTGTTATACATATATGATTCACACGAATTTAAATTAATTTGTAAAGATTTTATGGGAGTTTGTGACAAAAATTAGGAACTATGTTTTGTCATAGGTGGAAGGATACATGGAAGCTGTGATAAAAGGCATTCTCACATGTTTGCGTTTTGATATCTTGCTATGTTAATGTGATTTGGTGTTGAATTCAGAAAATATATACAGAGGAGGTAAAAAGCTGGTTTTAACATGAAACTCCATAGAGAAGATGTGAGCCCCCTCGCCCTCAAACGCCCACTAGTGTTACATTTGTCTATCCCATAATCCTTTGAAAATCCAATATGGACTTAACACATTTCTTCCCTATAGACTGCCAAATGTCTCATCAATGATTTAACCCAAATATGATATTTACTCCAATAGAAGTGTGCATAAACCAATAATTCATTTTTTGTATGTGATTATTAAAATATGACTTATTATGACCATGCCTTTTTAGAGCAAATATGTCAAACAAGTTGGATAAGGGGCTATCCAGGCAAAGATAACCAGGAAGAGAACTTAACAGATATGGCTAAGATCTCCCAGCAGTTTGTGGAAACCAGGGAAATATAATTTAGAGGTACAACTCAAAAGCTCTTCAATAAACCAAAATGAATAATGCATGTGTAATGCGTTGACCATCAGTATTGCTGTCTCATAGATTTCATACTGAAAGTATAATAGGCTTACACAATGTTAGCACTGATTAACTGAGTTGCAGTGTCTAAAATTCTAGGATCCTACTAGCTTTCATTCTGTTAAAAACATATTTAAGGTAAAAATAACATTTTAAGAAAGAGGAAATTGTCAAATGTGTTTTTTTTGGGGTTTAATGTGTGTTGTATTGTTCTTGGCTTATTCAATGCAATAACACTCAACTGAATGTCGTAGGCAAAGGGTGTTGGAAATTAATTGTGGAAAGTTGTGTATGTTGTGAACTCTAGAGATGTGTGGTTAAACTGATGTGATTCCTGTATTTGTATGTGAATGGTATTTTGCAGTCCATCCTTTGCAAAGTATGCATGTTTAAAATTTTGATAACCAGTGATTATTATGGAGATTATTTGTTGTGCTTCTTTTCACAAGGAGAACATTTGTTCTCCTGCTGGTGGGAAATTGACATCCTGCGCTTTGACAAGTAATATATAGTAGTGCATACCTCGTAAAATGCCCTCTGATCAGTCCAATAGTGACTCTCAGCATCTTGAAGCACAACAGTGGCAATAATATGATTCTGATATTCCATGATATTCCTAGATGTCAAGTCGGTCAGCTCAGAGTATAATCTTTGGTTAATTGTTAAAACATGTCTGATTTGAAAGCATACAAAAACATGCTGCATTATATTCAGGAAGAGCCAGCCAAAAGTCTTGACTGTCAATGGCTAGTTCATATTGATAATAAACTTGATTTTCTATTGCAATGCCATAAATTCAGATGTCTACTCAGATGATTTGTTCACATTGTCTAAGAACCTCCAGGAGAAACAAAACATTATGTTACTCAGCAATGAACAAATGTGTAGTACTGTAAAATTTGTATTAGAAGCTGTGGTTTCTGTTAAAATGATACAATGCAACAGAGGGGATACAGCTTCTATTAAAGCATCTGCATATATGAGAAATTGTGAAATTTGGTTCTCAATTGTTCAAAAAGAATTGGCACAACTTCTCTTCGGGATCCAGCTTCTAATGTAGATTTTATGATAGTGCAGGACATTAAAAAATACTTTTGACATCCGATATCAACCTCCTAAACTAAGACAAATCAGTTGTTTATCTTTTGAGTTGATTTTCTTTCTCTGTATTTTCTAGTTTGTTCATGCAAACAATATAACTGTTTGTACATGAAACAATGAACCAATGAGTTTTAGATCTTTATCCAGTATATTATTATACATCTGTCAAAGTAACACCATACAGAGTGCCGTAATTTTGCGGTTATTTACGGGGTGTTTTCATCCTACCATATTAGGAAATTCAAATTCCAAATATGGATTGATTACGCACGTAAGTGTCCTGTAATAATAAAAACAAACATGGCTGTCACCAGGGTTTGACTGGACTCTGTTTGCTGATTCTATTCCCATGATGTATCATTGGAAGGAAAAGATGTATAATAATAAGGTCATTATGAAGATACCTCAAAGTATGCACTCAGACAGTACGCCGTCGTATTGACTTCTGCTGCATGCCGGTCATACTTCCTCGGTCTTTGTGAATACTTTGAGGTATCCTCATAATAACCTCATGTGATTACACTGAAATAGCACAACCTTTACCTTGCGTCTTCTCCAAGTATTTTTTCATAATAACCAAGATGGTTTTTGAGGAATGATGTGGTTGCTAGGGTGATATATAAACACTGGATTGGTGAGTTTTCGGATATGTCTCCATTAATCTAATGATATAAGTAAATAATGAAAATTTATCCGTATTTGTTTCCCGGTTTTTCAGAGACAGGGGTGATTTTATAAACAGATGATAATATTCTATTGTTTGTTTCTGTTTTACACCAGGTTCATAGAGGCTAGCTTTTCTTTACTCAGATGTCACCTAGCAACAAGTAATAAAAGAATTTTTTACATTATACATTACCAAGATGAACAGCACATAGATACGTTTGGTTGAAAAATGCTCTAGACTTGTAAAATCAAAATATAGAACGTGATAACCCCATCAAGACTACCTGCTTTCTTTGCACATAGAAATGACACAGATCACATATTATCTCCATGAAGAATTTGACATTTATCGTTTGCATTGTTTGGAATTGGAATAGAACTCACTTCATGGAATACAATCAAAAGTACCAGTTGATGAGTTCAGATACTGTAAACTACCAGGAAAACAAAATCTGAGTTTATCATCAGAAATTGCCAGGAAGACAAAATCTGAGTAATAACCAAAAACTACAATGAATCCACAAGATTGAATTGTCTCTTACTTTTGTTATTCTCTCATAGAATAATCTGAAGCTAGCAATGACTGCATCTGTAAAAGCTGATTTGATTTGCTGAAAAATACTCTCATTAGTTGCAATAGCCAATGGGAGAAAGCGATCCAAAGTTCTGATGACAGTGGCACAGCTCTGTAAAGAAGTCGATATTAACATATGAATAGACAAAATATTTTACACACACATCTTAAAACAACATCTAAATAAAACCAAATATAAGCTCACCAATCAGTGTTATATATGTTATTGCCCTACTGGGCAAGGATGAAATGCATTATGGGTAAAACAGTTCTCATTGCATTGAAAATATCACACTGAAAACTCACTAAATGTCAATTTTTTGAGATATTTTCAACAAAGTTACAACTGATGCACAGCTTTAGTAGCCCCTGTCACCATGCACAAGTTATCTAGATACAATGAAATTTAATTTTTAAATCTTTACAAAGTTAGGAAAGAAGTACAGCTTTTGCGGCCCATGTCACCATGCACAAGTTTTTGAGATAAAAAGAAATAATTAAATAAATAATCAAAGAAACAAAGCGAAAAAAGATAGCAATCTTTGCTATTTTTTATGACATGCTTCTTGTTTCTTGAAATATTGTCAATTTTTGTTTTCAGAATCTGTAGACATACATTTGTGTATACTGTATTTGACATATTAGTAGCATTTGCACATTCTTAAATAACAGAGGTATGTGTATGGTAAAATTATAAACATCAAACATGCAATAAATTTTGTGCTCTATGTGTGGTTTTAATAGAGCAACTGAGGTAATCTTCAATTCAGTCGACGCTTTCTTAACCTTTTAAGCACCAAATTAAACTTTTGTCATCTTTCACAAAAAAAGTTCTACATACCATATGTGCATATTAATTAGGTAATTTGCATATCATTAACCTTTTAAGAAACAAAGTCAACTTTTGTCACCATTCACAAAATAGTTACATACCGACTGTGCATACTAATTAGGTAATTTGCATATCATTAACCTTTCAAGAAACAAAGTCAACTTTTGTCACCATTCAAAAAAAAAAACACCATTATGTTTTCCACATTTTCAAAACAATTGATTACAATCAATAATAAAGTATGTGTCACATATGACTTATTTACCACTTCTGTGTCACTGAGAATGTTCTAGAACCGTACTGTGTCTGGGTGGAATATTCTAGATTTTTTTTAGAAACTGGTTGAATAGGTAATAGAACACTGTAGGAGGCAATAGAAGGTAATGGAACATTCTAGAAATTTGTAGTAAGTGCCAGACTCATTATGTATGCTGATGTAATGGTCTATTTATAGACTGGGGGTATATATAGGGGAGTTGTTTAGCACTGAGTTCAGATCGGAGATCTCGTTGAATTGTGTTGGAGTTTAAGTATCTAGTTATTGGAGGGTTGGAGTTTTACCGCGTTATTGTACTTGATGTTTGCAGAGTATAATAATACCAGTACCAGTTGAAACCTCATCTGTTGGCTCCGTGTTCGTATGTTATCATCGCCGCCAGGGAAGTCTTTATGTTACTGTTGCCATTTTGGTATTTGAACCATCACACCTGTACTATACCAATTACGGTAAAATTATGTTGCGTGTGACAGTATGTCCACCTGAATCAAGTCAAATATGTAAAATATTGCACCCAATTTTGACATGATAACTTTGACAATTAAATTGTTAACTACTAACCTTCGTGACTCTTCTTGGGTAATCACTTTTCCCCCCTGCAAGGTCTCCTAGAAATAAACACATTATTACAATTACCGGTAATTCAATTATATTTCATTGTAACTGAAATTGAAGCAAAGCAATTTTATCACTGCACCCCATTTCTCGATCTTTCCTGACACAGATTTGTGTTGAAGATTATAAGACCAAAGGAGGATTACTTTCGTACAAAGTTGATGCTCATTATTTGTCAAGTTATTTGCAATCAACTTGCGAACTTATGTGCAAGAAAACATAAATTCATTTCAATTCTATTGAATGAATAATATTTGAATTTAATTTTGTCACTACTACCAGTAATTTTTATGATTTGATATATTGAGAGTATTCATGAAGGCTGGATTTTGTAAAAAAATAACTGTGAAACACATGTTCATTATTTATGTAGCCTCCATTTTGGAAAATGTTGTTGAAGTTAGCTTCTGATTCGGATTTGTATTCGAATGATTTATTGATTCATGATTGACACAACATACCACAAACTGGTTCAGTTTCCAATGTATGCTTGAGTTCATAATATTTAGCTTCTTCTCGCAACATTTTGTGACATGCATTCTCTACAATAGATGTCAAACCTTTGGCGACGGTCGGGATCACCTTCTCATAACTACGACACCAATCCCATTTACTTCGTTCCTATTGATGTAGAAATTTATTACAAGAAAGTTACCACACTAGACATTCACTATGTACTTTAACCTTATTATAATCATCCCCTTTATAATTTCCTGATGGTAATGAACAAATTGCATGTCTCCTGCTATAATAAATCCAATGTATAAATGCAGGCTTTTTTGTACCCAGTTAGTATCGGCTTACTCTGTCAATAGCGGAACAAGTGCCCACAAACCTACATCTACACCTTAGGTACTTCAATATAGTGAAAACTATGTCTCTCAAAAGAGTTTGTTAAAACAAGTTTAGACTATAGTTGTATCTTTAGAGGGGTCTATATGTCAGGAGAGTTTGTTAAATTGTCGTAATTATATTCAAATTGCAAAACAATACCATTTGCAGTTTCTGTTTAATATGACATGTCTTTGTCTGAGTATGTCATCAAATTATTCATGGACATATTCTTTACACTAGTTCATAGTTAATTATTACATAATCATTTTGATATTCCAAACACCCACATTGTATTCTCAGGAGTGAACATCCTGACAACCACAACTGTTGAAATCAATGGTTGAAAACTCACAAAAAACTTTTCTTTGGGTTTGTTGTTGAGAATCTCAACAGTAATGTAACAAGATAACCCACAACATATATAAATGTGGTTATTCAGGATTGTTTTATAGTTGAGTTTTTGCTGATTTCACCGGCACTTTAACAGCAGCAGCTCACGCAAAGCCCATAGAAATACACAATACAGTGGTGTGCGTCTTAGCAACATAGAATGTCCTATGACAAAGCTCTGCCCCCCCCCCCGATAATTTGTTGTAACAACAAGTTTTACTTGAAGTGATGTTCACAAACATCCTGCAAATTTAGGTACCATATACATTGCAAACCAACTTCAAATACAAAACAAAACCTCAATTAAGCATGTTGCACAATTTATCTTCATGGCATTCCAACAACGCACAAAAAACATGTGATTTGAACTTATTATATTTATTTACTCTTTAAAATTCTTTTTACTAACTTGTTATATTTTATTTTTCTGTATTGATTAATATTTCTATTGCTATATACTGAAAGAAATGTATATTTCTAAAGATGCAATAAACAATTATTATTATAGTTATACCGTACTTGACCGCGTTAGCGCCCATGCCCGGGCAAGCGCCCACCCCCCACTTTTGCGCAATTTTTATATTTGGGGTCACATTCGGCAAAGCGCCCACCCCTTCAAAATGCAACTAATTTAAAACTTGGTCTTGCGTAACGAATCTTGGTAATCGTTTTTATATGATACAGCGTGGATATCGACTGCTGTGAACATGTTGTGAAT